CAATTCACTTGCTGTGCAGGTCATGCCAATACTCTGCATTTCTTTATTTTCTCTTTTACTATATGTAGTATAAATCAATAGTAGCCCTTATTGAAGACAGGTTAATATCAGCCATCGTCTTGCAATTATTAAGCATTGGGCTTTACTCATAAACCTGTTTCATAAACATGAGATAAAAGGATACATTTGCTTACTCTTCAAAGAAAGTGTAAATGGTTTTTAATTGTATATATTAAATCTAAAACCTGTATTGTAAAAGTCAGAAGGTAAAACAATGCAAAATTTTCTGACATTTTTGAGCTAGCTTGCATCTAGAAGAAAAAGAAGGTAAAGTTATAATATCTACAACCTTGAAAGGGCTATTTAATTTATTATATCAAAGAAGTATTTATAATAGGAAAAAATACCTGACTGATTCCAGAAAGAAGAACTGATGAAAAATAACTAACATCAATTAAGATTTGGAAAGGTACTATATGATATACAAACTGCAAATGTGCAAAAGTTTATTTGTTCTTTCTTCTTTCTTTAAGGGGATAAAAAGCCAAACTAATTTGATTTTTTCCAGATTTACAAATTTTATAATGGACTAAAGTCCTGAGGGAGCTAACAACAGATGGATGATTGTGTTATTCTAATTTGGACTACCTTAGGGTTTAGAGAGCTGTCATTTTCAAAAAGACAATCAATTTCTCATTTCAAGAAACATGAAAAAAACAGTGACTAATCCAACATTTGCTTTGAAATATCTTTTACATGAAGACATGGTGTTTTCTTATTTAAAGTAAATATAGTAAAAATGTTTAATAGTAAGCCATTTTTCTTTCAGTCCAAAAAAAAAAAAACATGATGAAAGATGAGGATACCTGAGGCCTTTAGAGGAAAACAACACTAGCAATGAGCTCACCACATAATGATAATAAATATTAAGCAAGAAATAAACAGGAAGCCACTTTATTTTTTTGGCCTTATTCTAAAGTTCTGGTGCTTTGGTGTTCAGCAGGAGCCTTAAAGGAATGTAAATTCACATTCAGTGTTTATCTGCCTACATAATACATTCAACAAATCTAACATAAGATCTTGCTCCACATAATTTAGAGATGTGATAAAGGGTAGTAAATGTGTGCATATTGAGCAAGCTATTAGTCTTGTTGAATATTTTGATAAGATATATCTAAAGAAAAAAATGCCCCACTAGAACAATGTTCCAAAGAAAACTACAGAAATTTGGAAATTATTATACTTAAATCTAAAAAGATATCCTCTCTGGACATGCTCATCTCCATGATTATCACTTCTCCCTCATTTCCTGTTCCCCACAGACATCATGTATGTTTTCAATTAAGTTTTTAGATATACTTGTAAAGTTTTGATTATCCTCATGAATGCATGTCTTCAAAATTTCATCCCAACTGCTGTTTTCTGTGCCTCCCTTTCCGCATTTTAAATACAATGATTATGCTCACTTCAGAGTGTTTTTAGGGATAAATGATAAAAATATATACCAGTATCTCAATAGACCATCTAATTTATAAGACATGCTCAACAGATAACAATTCTTTTCACCAACTTTAATTTCCTATTTATTTTGTCTCATTTCTTTGCTTTCATTCTCTGATAATTTCTTTATCCCTTTCTCATATTTGTATTAGATGTTACTATGCATAAATAGTTATGTTCATCTGTAAATATCAATGTATTCAGAATTGCTATAGAATTTCCTTGTGTGCATATAGAAGCTTATAAAATAGCAAGTGTATTTAATCAAATGCATATGAAACATACTAAAGAGTCTGAGACCTAATAAATATTTAAACTAGCCATACACAATATAATAAATATCACAACAGCAATTTAAAGTGAATGCAGTAAGAGCAGAGAGGAAAGGCTTTTACTGGCGAGTAAAAAGTAAAAGATATTTTGCAGTTAAGTTAAACATTAACATATAGATGTTGTGGGGAGGGAAATGTTTACCTAGAAGAAAGAGGAGCAAAGATTTAGTAAAGTGAAGGCAGTGCTGGGTTTGGGCATGGATGGGTATTGAGAGGAAGGATGAGCCAGACTGAAAGTATATTTGATTTTTAAATTTTTTTCTTTTTATGGAAATATGATTATTATAGAATATCTATCCCACATAAATAAGACATATTTAAATGATGGTTCCTGCATACATACCTTACTATGCTAGTACACAGTAAGGTATAATATCACGTCACCTGATGGGACGAGAAGCAATCACCCTTTATGATCTACTGCCATGCATCTATGCTCTTTCTCTTATCTTCTTCACTCTCTTCATTCACTGCCCTTAAGTACCAGATGTTCATTGTTTGTAAATTTCAGTCCTCCACTTTATCCTTTACAGTTACTTAATAATCTTCCTAAGGTACAGATGAATCAAGTAAAGATTCTGCTCAGAAACTGTATTTAACAAGCAATAGAGTAACCCATTTTAAACTCCTTGACACAGTATATAAAGCACTCCCCTATCATTCTTTTACCTCTTTGATATGGCAAACATTTATTGACATTATTATTCCAGTTGCAGAGGATAACACTGACAGTAAGACACAAAAACTACAGTATAGAACAATCAGACATTAGGTCAGAATATGAGAAAGAAATGACAATCAGATGTGTTATTTAGTGTATATGCCAAGTCTATGGTTTAGTAATTTGTATTTTCAGCTCCCATCTTTCCTCTCGACTTCAGATTCACATACCTATTCATGTATGAAGTATGCCTATTTGAATGTCTAATAAGTATCCACAACATAGCATAAAAGCAAAAACCAGCTTCAAAATACCCCCCCACAAGCAGGTTCATTCCCCTTTCTTCTTCATCTCACAGTATATTTATTCTATCCTCCCAGAAGCTCAGAACAATCGCTTAAGAGTCTTTTTTTGATTCCTTCTTTTCTCCCAAACCCCATATTCAACCTGTTACTCAATCCTGTTGGTGTTATCTTCAAAATACACCCCAAAATCCAAGCACTTTTTATTGTCTTCACTACTGACATTCTCAGCTGAGTCATCACAATTTTTCATCTGGATCTTTTCAGTAGCACCGTGACTATCTCCCCACTTTAGCCCTTTGTCATCCCCTTTAGTCTTTTCTCAATACAGTAGCCATAGTAAACTTATAAAATGTAAATCAGCATGTCATTCATATGTTCAAAACCCCACAATAATTTTCAAGACCCTAGAGCACTCTCTCCTCTCTGATATTAACACCATCAAACTTCCTTTTACTCCTTTCCAGATTAAGTAGTCTTCTTCATGCCATTTGAGGAGAAATCTCTTACCTTGAAAATACTCACAGATCTTTCTCCCACTTCTCCTCCTGGTTGTGGATTAAAAATTACAAGATTGATAAAACCTTGTGTAAATGCTATTATACTGAAACTACCACTCCAACTAGCACTTCCTGTTCCTTATCCTGTTGTGTTTTTCTCATTTATCACCATACTAGTTGACATACTGAACATTTTATTTATTTCTATCTTCCCACCAGAAGGTGAACTCTATGAGGGCAATATTTTTCTCATGATTGCTGCTGGCATCCCAACAATTTAAAAAATGCTAGTACATAGTAAGGTATAATATCTATTTGAGGAATAAATGAATATGTGGATAATAATATATGTGTAAAAGAATAGTGTTCTTGAAAAACAAGCATGAGGTATGCAGAGAAAGTGATGATGCTAGAGGGGAAAAAAAAAAGGCAGGAAAATGTAAGGCCTGGAGCACCATGGGAGGCTTAGACCCTACGCAGTGATAAAAGGTAAATTCTAAGGGGTACTAAGTGGGTCAGATTTGCACTTCAAAGTTCACTGTACGAACAGTATGAAGAATACCTTTGAGAAAGAATAAAACTCCAAATTGATATACCATGGATAGAAAGTCTACTGTAATATCTAAGGGAAGAGATGATGTTGGACCGAACCAACATAAATAAGAGTAAAGATGGGTAGAATTAGATGAATTTGAGACATATTAATAACAGAACATAACTGAGTGATTGGAAATGTGGACTTAAAGTCAGTGATGATTCTTTAGTTTCTGGCTTAGATGGTCAGTAGATCATCGTAGTGCCTATCACGATAGAAAATGCAGGAGGACAACGTATGTCAATAAGATCCAAAGTCCCTGCTGACACTCAGAGTTTGAGGTATTCTATACTACATTCAGGTGGTGTTACCAAGTAGGCAGATGGAACTAAGAGAATGAAACTTATGGTAGACTTTGAGGAGACATAAATTTTAAAGACATTAATTTATCTGAAGTGAGGTAAATATGTAGGCTACAGTTTGAATATGGTTCATCTCCTCTGAAACTCATGTTGAAGTTTAATCCTCAATGTGTGATATAAGAAGGTTGACACTTAATCTATGGCATGTTAGAGATAGAGTCTTTGGGATATTAGGATTAGGTAAACTCATAAAAGTAGAGCCTTCATGATTAAATATGACAGGTCTTATAAGAAGGAGAGATTAGAACATAGATATATGCATTCTTTGTAGTTCAGGTTGCTCTGCACCATACACCTAAGAACTCTGTCAGAAAGAAAGTCATTCATGAGATGTCTCCTCCTCTCAACTTTGAGCAAGAACCAGAAGCGAAATCAAACCTTTTTCTTTATAATTTACCCAGCCTGAAATATTGTGATATTCCAACAGAAAACACTGATACAGTAAAATAGTATGAGACGTGCTCACTAGAGAAAACCTGATAAGATCAGAAGAATGAAAGATACTACCTAAAGAAAAACAAAATCTAATGGATAAATCAAACAAACAAACAAACAAAAAGAAAGTCCCAGAATTACAAGGAAACATACAATTGCAAAGAAATTTGATATCTGAAATGTAAATGACATCAAACAATAGATTTAAGGATGGGAAAACTTGCACATTTTTGAGATTTAATTATACATCTTTATGAAATATTATCTATTTGCACATTGAGCATTTTTAAACATCAGAATGTTTAAAATGTACCTGTATATTCCACTGAGGGGAAGTAACATTCAGATGGATTTTCAGTGAGATGAAGCACAAAAGTTTCAAGTAATTCTACTAAAGCTGTAATAAACAGGAGAATAATTAGAATATTAAAGGTCAAGAATGATACGTGATAATGCATCTCTAAAAAAATCACAAACTAGTAGTTAAAAGTCACCTGAACTCCTTCACAGTTATACTCTAAGGGGGTCTAACTCAAAATATACACAGTTTTAGTATTCACAACAATGTTTCCAATTTAAATTAAATTTTAATAGCTTATCTGAGAACCTATTCAGTGTAAAACTAGAAACGAAAGATCTGTTATCTTTAGATTCTCTAAGGATTATTTTAGAATTTGTTAAATGATTTCAATATACTAACCAGGCTATAAAATCTTATCATCATCATTTGCAGACACAGAGAACACAAATACTGTACTCCAAAACCAGGTTAATGCATAGCTCATGCCTCTTTCAAGTCCATGACATATGGATATACATTTTATATACTGTGCAATTTAGAAGTGAGAAAATGATTCTTTATTGGGGTGGTGCAATGAAATGTTTTAAATCATTTCATTTCATATACTCTACTCATAATGTGATTTCAAAGTGAAAGAAGATGAGTATTAAAAAGTATGAAAATGCAATAGTCAAGAATCAGAAAGGACACCAGTACTGTCAATTAAATTTACAGTTGCTTAGAGGAAACAATTAACAGCATGAAGAAAGAGCCTTCAGAATGAGAGGAAATCTTTGCCATGTATTCTTCTGACAAAAGATTAATAAACAGGGTGTATGTGCTATGTTTAAAAAAAAAGAAATCTTACCAAATAACCCAATCAATAAATGGGCCAATGAACTAAACAGGCATTTCTCAAAAGAAGAACTGCAAATGGCCAACAAATATAAGAAAAATATTCAACATCTTAGCAATCAGGAAAACACAAATTGAAACTATACTGAGATTTCATCTTACTCCAGTTAGAATGGCAATCATCAAAAATACAAGTAATAATAAATGCTAGTGAATATATGAGAAAAAAAGTATTGAAAGGGGCTGAAAACTAAAACAACCACTTTGGAAAACAGTATGGATATGCCTCAAAAAACTAGAAATGTAGCTGGGTACAGTAGCACATGCCTGTAATCCAAGTGGTTCAGGAGGCTGAGGCAGGAGTACCCTGAGTTCATAGTCA